ACTAAATTTTATTTTTTAATAAAGTAATTATCTATTTTTAAATTAATCATATCTTTTTATATCCATCACTATTAAATATTTTATAATAAATATAAAATTATTATCAATATATGCATTTTTTAAAAAATAATGATTATATCTCAAAAAATAAAAAATACATTATATTTTTAAATATTTAATTTTTTTAAAAAATATCTTATATATATTTTTTGACGGTGGAGTATATCCTGCCCCACCATTAATTTGAAACTAACACGGTGACTCTGACCAAAAGAACACAGTTACTTTTTGAACACAATAAGGCCCACAGTCTCTCTCCATATGACTCTCTCTCTCTCCCTCTCTCTCTCTCCCCTCTCTTGCTCAACAACTGAAGCAGAAGAACACGATGAAGGTGATCCAATTGATTAGGCATGCTCTCATGCAAACTCTCTTTTGGGTGGAACACATTTGCAACGTTCACGGCATGTATGTAGTTCAAGAACCTCATATATATGGTGGAGGGAGTATTAGGGAAGATGTAAGGCCCAAACTATGAGAGCATTGCTTCATCTGATCTTCTGATAGGAAAGGAAGGAGCTTGTGATAATAGTGTGGTAATAAGCGGAGAAGCAAGCACATGATTGGACCCACAATATAGATAAAGAGAGGCTAAGTGATCAGGCCACATCAATGACCCAAGGGATGAAAGGATTGTTGATGAGGCAAGAGACCAGTCGACCTCGGTCGGCGTGAGCCTTAAGCATGCGAGGAAGAAGCTCCTTGCGGACAAGCTCGAGCAGGGGAAGATACTGGTCTAGGTCTTGGCGTCGGGGCTCGTCCTCGGGCCAACCGTCATTTAATGACTCGAACCAGATGAAGCCGTCGTCGATGGTAGCAGGCTCGTCGGTGTTGTTGCTGGCTTTTCTCATTTGTTTGGCTCAGATTTCTCATCTTCTTTAGTCATGGTCTTCTCAAGAGCAAGAGAGGCGGTAAGACCTGGCCATCGCTGGCACCAAAGTCTCAATCGAGACCCCTCCCATCATAATCCGGTGAGAATGTCGTGTCTCCCCTCGCATTAGAGCGTATTGATGATGGAGATGGAGTCTCCAGAATCGGCTGAAATGAAAACACATAATCTCCTTCAGTATATGCATATTCCAAAAACTGGGGACGAGTCAACGGCGGAGTCCTTCCCTGAGGCAACGTCGAAGTTGGAGGGAGAGAGAGTGAGGAGGATGGACGAGAGAGAGAGAGAGAGAGAGAGAGAGAGAGAGGAGAGATTGGGAGTGAGACGGATTTGAATTCCATGTACAATTTTAATAGTTAAAATTTAAATAAATAATTATAAATTCATACTCTACTCAAAATTAATAAATAAATAAATTTATTTAAACTGTTAATTTAAATTTTAACAATTTAAAGAATAGACATTTTATGTTTTGTATCAATTAAGTACAGTTATTGAATTCAAATTTAAGTGAAACACGATAAGAATATTAGCAAATTAGCCCCACTGTGTGTATAAAGTGATGACATTAGTTCAAAATTAATAGAGGAGTGAGATTGCCTTAAATTTAATTGTTTAAAATTTAAAATTTATTAATTATGAATATAACGTTTAAATTACCTATAGATTTATAGTTTAGGATTTAAATTATATATTAATCATAAATAAAACAATGCTCAATATTTTTTGTTTAATAAAAGGTGAAGAAAAAGCAATACAATAAAAAAGAAGCTCAAAAACGAGAAGACCTAAAACCTCCGGGAATGTGAGATTTGATTTTGGAAGATATCTAAATGTTTTTTTATTCATATTCAGTAATATCTGGGTGCAGTTTAATTATGTTTAGGTAGATATATTGTATTTTGATTATAAAATTAAATTTAGTTTTAATAAAAATTATTGAAACCACCTAACGTTAGCTCATATAATATGAGTGTGGTGGGACATGGTAACAGTAATTTAAACACCCATATTGTAACAAGATAAAAATAATTTATTATTAAAATGTAAATGACCACAACACCAAATTTTGAAAAATTGCATTTCTAATGCTGATTATAAAGATAGAATACCTTTTAGAATGTTTTTACAAATTTGAACTATGACAAATGAGCGATGGGAATTAATGAAATTTCAATTAATTTTTTAAGCTAATCGTTCAAATACATGTGGCGAAAGGAGGAAGATGGAGCAGGGTTTTTTTTTGGTTATTTCGAGTTAACTATATTCTTGGTTTCATATTTCACCAGTGGTTCTATGGTGTAGTGGTTAGCACTCTGGACTTTGAATCCAGCGACCTGGGTTCGACTCCCGGTAGGACCTTAGAATTTTTATTTTGACATTTTTTCCTTCTCTGCAATTCAATTTCGTTTTATAATTTGAATTCTTTTGATGATAAAATTTAAAAAATATATATAATCTTTAGTTCTTATAAGTTTATTGAGTTTTATTTTTAATTCTTATAATTTTTTTCAGTGGTTTTAATATCAATTAATTTGGATTCTTTTGATGATAAAATTTTGAAAAATATAATCTTTAATTCTTATAATTTTATTAGGTTCTACTTTTAATCTTTATCAGTCCCTATAAAGACTAAAACAAATGAAAAAAATGAAAACTATAAGAATGTAAAAAATAAAGGTCATCTAATCTTTCTGAAATTAAAAAGACTAAAAACATTAAAAAATTACAAGAATTAAAAATAAAACCGGATGAAATTATAAAAATTAAAGATTGTATTTTTTTTAAAATTTATTAATCATTCAGAGATCAAATGACGAAGTGAAGAGAAAAAATAATTTACATGTATATATAGCTTGGAAATTTTATATTTCAACTGATCCCCCTTATTTTGCTTACAATTTATGCAAATATAGTTTAGATTATATCTATGGCTCAACGTAAAAATTGATCTAACCTAACCAAGCGAACGTTAAAAGACCACTAACTTCTCCTAAATGATAATCATACATAACCTAAAGTCTGCGGAGCCTTGAGAGCCATTTATCTACTAGCTACACTCACGAAAACATAATTTTGTTTGCTTCTAACTTCGCACCACTTGTTATAAATCAACCTTATTATTAGAGTATCAGGCCCAAAAAAAAGGTGTTTTTTGGTAAGAAAATATTATTATTAGAGTATCAATTATTAAAATCTAAAAAAAGTACAACAATCATGAGTATGTGGGTCATTTTGGGTTCTGTACGAAACACGCTTGAATAGATATAAATAAAAAATGTGGGTTAAATTAATATTGATGACAAATTCAACGAGGGCTAGTATTCAATGCTGGTCCAATTGGTGACAAAGAGGGCTGTTCTCAACAACCAAAGTCAACTCTGCAAGTTTGTGAGTTTAATTGGTGTATTGTCTCCCTTGGCTGTTGCTCCCTCCAACATCGTTTAATATATTAAATTACATGCGTATTTATTGGTCGAAAATTAATTTATCAAAAATTTATTTAATAAAAATTAATTTTTGTAATAAAATTTATGTTTGATTATATTTTATAAAATTTTTTGATGTTTGAATAATATATAATTAAATGTATTTTTAGATGTATAATTACTAAAAAGAATGAGTTTTATTGTAAGTAATTTTTGTTGTGTAAATTGTGATATATTTAAAAAAATTATAATTAACATACTTTTACAAAAATTTTATAAGTAAATTGATTTATATAAATTTATAATTTTTTTACAAACATATAAACTCACAATTCACATGTACTAAATCATGAACCGTGATTGTAATTTAGACAAATACATTCTAAAAATAAATGGTTTCACCCTAAAAAGTATAAAAAGAAAATAAAAATTAATATTCTGCAAACGAGAAACAAGAATGCAGGGAGACAAAAAATCACAGCTACAATAGAAGGACAACAAGATGAAATAAAAAAATCAGCTACATCCAACCACATTTTAAATGCACTTTTAAAATGTACATTCATCTCATAATTTTTTTTTTTCAAACAGCTTTTAGCTTTTAAAAAGTGCCAAATGCATTTTCTAAAAGTTAAACGGAGGTTATCCAAACAATGCCCATCTTTCTTTTTGTGTTTTTTTTTTCAAATTACTCCACATAATTCAAAAAATATGAATGTTTTTAAAATCTTGCTTACTCTAAAATATAGTATTGAGCAATGTTTTTAGAACCGAATTGAATATTGAACTGAAAAAGTTAGTGGTTTACAGTTTGCATGATTCAATCAGGTTAGACTAATGATCAAACCGATGATGTAATAATTAAATTAAAAAAATTATATATGTATATAATAATCTACATATAAGAAAAATATATATGAAATTGCTACTTAACTTAAAAAAATAAATATTTTAAGTTTATTATGACTTAACAAGCCATATGATACAATATAATATCAAATGATTAAAAAAATTAGTCATTTTTAAAAAAAATTGATAAAAAATAAAAAAATTGAATAGTCCTGTTTTTGAAAATCGAATCCAGTTCTTGGCTTGATTCCGGTTCCCAATCCAACTGTCGGTTCGAAACGACTCAACCCGACTCAACCCTTAAAACAGTTTTCTTATATGAACCAAACCAGAATCCAAGATCCAACCATCTGGTCCAGTCCGATTTTAAAAACACTGGTATTGAATAATTCATATAATGTTTTTAATTATACTTCTTAATTATTATTCTTTTTAGAAAAATGGTTCATCCAAATTTCAATAGTCATTGAGACACTTAAATAGAATATTTAATGAACGTGTTTTGAATAAATTAAATATTACATTTATTTCACTCAAAAGTATAATTGAAAATATATAAAAAATTAAAAAATTAAAATTTCAACTATTTTAAATTCTTAAAGTAGTTTCCAATGTGCCATAAAATATTATGGGACAGAGGAAATGTCATTTTCACAAATATAAGCTTGCCAAACGAACAGCCCCTTTGATTCACTTCTACACTTTATTTTCTCTCTCTTTTTTTTATAAAAATAGTCCAAAGATTAACTTCGGATTTGAACTTGTTCCAAAGAGACTTCTACATTTTCTCACAAAATAGTAAGAGTATCATTGAAGCTAATTTAGTTGCAAAGTTCAGGAAAGACATTAGTTGCACTGCTACAACAATTCACAAAAGGGTGGCACCATTACATTTACATGTAGCGAAGAGTACATGCACAAATCACTTCCTATTTCTCTTCATCTTTATTCTTCTTTTGAATCAAATGGGTTTGGATTGTAAATACACACAAGACCCTTCTCTATGACATCTCTAATGCGTCCGATCTTCCAGCTGTAGCTTCCAACACTTGGGATCCACTTCAGCCTGCAAATGGGACAAAAGTAATTTGAGTAACGATCGGATTTAGCAGTAACTAGACAATAATGCCTTCAATATTACCCTTCATCTTATCTCCATCCAAAAGTTTGTTTCAAAACTTAATAAATTGTTGGCTTGAGTTGAGCACTTTGAAGTATGAGTTAATGGTACCAGATAAGCAATCGACAAAACTAACAATTCGATGGCTTTGGCATTGATGTTTGAATGAGACAGAATGGAAGAGTAAAACATTGACAATATCTTCACAATTGAAGAATAAAATGGAAAAAAACCAATAAAGGATTGTCCGAGACCAAAATAGGATTTTTCTCTTAAAGTCTGAAGTTTGGGGCTCAAACTTGGGAGAGGACAAGATACAGCAACGACCCATATTTTTATTACTCAAGGAAAGAATGTCCAATTTTTCATAGTTATTGTAGTTTGCTACATACCTGGAACACTTTATTTCTCCACTCAAATACACACCCACGCCCTTCCATGTGTTTGATAAATGGATCAGGCAACAATGATCTTAACGAAAGATGAAGCTTCACTTTTTTTAGCCCTCCACATGCCAATAAAGCAGTAGCCAGTCCTCTTGGAGTCAAGCCCTCTACATGGAAAACTGTAAAGGTCTGTAGGCTACTGAGGCTAGCAAGGGAAAGTAGGCCCAAATCAGTAATTGAGCTGTATGAAAAATTTATCTGCAAAGAAAAGACACCTCGTTAGTGTTCTAGTAAAAAGCATTATCACATCCGTTATGTTTCTAAAAAAGTGAGAAAAGAGGAGAGGACCTGTCTTAGGTTTTGGGAGAAATGAGCTATTGAAATCATCCCCCTATCATCGATGTTGTAACATTTCTTTATGTCTAGACAAGTAAGCAGCTTACACTTGTTTGCTATAGCTGCTAGACCAATTGATGTCACAAGAGTACACCCACGAATTTCAAGCGTTTTCAACTTAGAGCATTGCGACAAGGATAGTAAGGAGCTATCAGTGATGGCAGTGCAATAAGCTGCATTAATCATCACAAGTTCAGGGCAACCACGAGCAATTCCTGAAATACCTGAATCTGTTATTCCTGTAGACCTGGACAAAGAATATAATCTCCGGTGACTATGGATAATTATCCTTAAATTCCTGTGTGTATGTATAGAGAGAGAGAGAGAGAGAGGATATGTGTGGGCGTGGGTGTCAAATAATATTTTCTTAAATAGCAAGACGGATCTTCAATGCCTTAGTGATTAGTTCATAGAATCCTGGTAACTTATAAACTTTCAAGCATGAACGATCACCCAAGTTGTGATTTCAACATCATTATCAAAGCCTTCAAAGAAAGTATAGATTATTCATCTAATGATAGGAATAGAGAAAGGCAAAAGCTCATAAATTTCATGGACACACCTGTATAGATCTAGCTCTTTCAACTTTGAGCAGCACTTGCCAACATAGGAAAGTCCCCTGTCAGTTATGTTCAGGCAGATTCCTAACTTTAGGTTGGAAAGTCCAGCACAAGAAGAAATGGATTTAAGGCCTGCAGAAAGAGAATGATAAGAATAGCAGTTGAGATGGGGTTTATAATTCCAGGGGAGATGAGGGAGAGAGAAGAAAACCTTCATCATCAATTTCATTATCAGTTAGGTCAAGATCCTTGAGAGAATGGCATCGCTGTCCAATCAGGATGAATGCTTCTCTTGGAACTAGGCCACATGACTCCATCTTGAGAGAAGTAAGATTGATGCAAGAATTTGCAATGCTTGCAATGGAAATGTCAGTTATCATGCGGCAGCATGTGATGTCAAGCTTTCTTAAATCTCTTTGTTTTGAAACAACGAGTGAGAGAGCTTCATCTGTCACTCCCACACATTTGCTTAAACTCAGCTCCTTTAGCGAAATGCATGAATTTCCAATGGCCATTAATCCGGATGAAGTAACCAGGCAGCCATCTAATATGATTGATTGCAACATCGCAAGTTTGTTCAACCCATCAGCCAGAGCAAGAGTCACCTGGATAATCAACTAAGAACTATTAGCTACAGCTGAAATCCCCAGGAGCAAAGACCATAAAGAAAATGAAATCTCAAAACCTGAAGTGTTGAAAATTATAAAGGAAGCAGAAGATTACAGGAGAACCATCTGCTAAAGTAAGTTGCTCAAGATATCCAAAACTGCTTGTGAGTGCAGATAGACCAGTGTGAGTTATGTTTTGACAGCCAGAGATATCAAGTTTCTGCATAAGTCAACATTAGCTTTTAACTAATTTTCATCAGGGATATTAAAAAAAGCCACAATGAGAGCCAAAGAATGAACATACAGATTACCGCAAACATAGATTCCAATTTGCTTTTTTAACAAAACAAAGGGGGGGATTAAGGCTTGCTTGGCAACCTGATTTGAGAATAGTTTTCTGCTCTGAAGAATTGAAAAAAAAAAAATCTATTTGGTAACGTGTTTTTTAGAACGTTTTTGAGAATAAAAAAAATCAAGCATTGTTTTGGAATATATAAAATTAAGAACATCTTTTATGTGTTATGAAATTATTATTCTAGAAAACAAGGAAAAATACAAAAAACACCTGTTTTTATTTTTAATTTTTTTTTTCGGGAACATGTTCTATAAAATATCAATTTTTAGAAAAATAAAACAAAAACAGTTTCTAATAAGCCCTTAGCTTCTTTCCACCTTCAAAGCTGAAATTCTGCACTTCCTGTCCAATTTCAAAACCGAACAATAACAGCTTCATGCTAACTTTGCTGTTTAGACAATTTAACAAACAAAACTGACAAGCTAACTCTCCACAAGTACCTTTAATGTTCTGCAACCTTGTTTGAAGACATCAAGGTTGTCATCATCAATGCCGAAGCATCCTTCAAGAACCAAATCCTCAAGATGTTGCAATTTAAAAATTGACGGCAGACATTTATCTGTGATCTGTCCATCACAAGAAACACAAAATCAGTTATCTCAACCAAATCAACCTGCCGAGATATTTAAATAAATAAGATACAATCAAGCATTCGTTTAACTTAAATTTGAATGAAAAATTGAAATATTAACTCCTTATTTCTTTATAACCATGGGACCTGATGAATATCACTTCACTTGATCTGGATGAGAAACAGAAATGAACTAAACATTTTTTCTCCCAGAACTTTGTATCTTAATTTCTTTTCCCAGCAGAGCAAGATCAATAATCTGAGCACCATCAGTAATTACCAACGTTGTGCCTCATTAAACCTGGTTACGTGGTTCTAAGTCACCAACCATTAAGCACTCACGTTAACTCTTGAGGGCCCATGTGCAGCACATGTGCTCACCAATGATGCCAATAATTTCAATGGACAAAATTACCCCCTGCCATTGAATACCACTACCGCTCGTCTCCTCCATTCAATTGGAGTATCTAAATTTTTTTTATCGCCTGAGTAGTATCTCATTTTTAATTTTCCTCGATTTCAAACACAATCCAAGCTGTGAAATTAAAATCTCAAAATCCCTAACTGCTCTTAGCATTGACCAAAGAACAAGCAGAGATAAGAAGAAAATGAAGCAAAGAGAGAAGGCTTACAGGTAAATAAGAGAGATCTAAACAACGAAGTTCGTTACACTTGATAGCAATCAACTCCACCCCCAAATCGCCAACACCTACGCACCACTTCAAGCAAATCAACCTCAACTTTCTACACCCGACTGCAATACACCCAATTCCCATGTCCGTAATCAGCTTGCACCTCCCCAGCCACAACTTCTCCAAGTTCGAAAACTGAGCCACCACAGAAGCCGCCGCATCTCTCAGCTCTGTCGCGTTCGATAAATCTAACTCCACCAGATTCTTACATTTCATAGCTAAATTAAGCAACCCATTACAGGAGAAGAACTTGGACTGGGACAGATCAATCCGTTGAAGCGTTTCTTTGTAAGCGTCGGCCACAAAAGCCAAGGAGCTATCGGTGACTCGACGGCAAAGGGAAAGATTGAGATGGGTTACACATGGGTATCGATTCAAGACAGAGGGGAGATGTTCTGAGCGAAGAGGTTTCAGGGTTCGGCGATGTTTAGCTTCGATGGTATAGAAAGATTTACAAACTAGGGTGAATGATTTTTTGTCAAGTGGGTTCGCATTAAGGAGGTCGAGGATGGTGAAGACGAGCTCCTCAGAGAGAACATCAAACGGGTTCTGAGTTGCAGGGGATTTCTGCTTCTTCATGGCTTTAACTGAGGAGAACAAGGAAGATATCTGCAAGTGTGCGCAACGCTGCTTGCTCTTTAGCGAAGATCTGCGAGATCACAGAACAAAGGATTATCATACGAGATATCTGTTCCCAAAAAGTGATGAATCGGGTCGTTAATAGAGGATTTAAGATGAGTATTGTTTTCAGCAGGGAAGACGGAGAGATTGAGGAAATAGAAAGACTGAAATGCCCTTGTAGTCGTTTTCCGTAGAATTCAGACGTTGAACTTTTTGTTCCCATTTGTCCGAGAAGACATAAGTATCCCTCTTGTCCTTTAATAATCATCATATTAGTTCTAAAAAAAAGGAAAATTATAAGTAGATTTCATGTAAACAAATTATTTAAAAATAAATTAACAAATTTGTAAAAATGCACTTAGATTTTATTAAACTTGATTGTAATTAATTTATGATATAAAATAACACAAATAATTTTGGACTTGCATCTTTGAATTCATTTAGATTTCACTTGAATATAATTAATTATAAAAATAATTGACTAATATAATTAATTTTAATTACAATTAATTATATTATAATGTAATTTATTTAGATATTAAAATTAATTTTATCTGTACAAATTATCATAAAAGATATTACTTTTTAAAATTAAATTATTAATAAAGTTATATTTAATATTATTGAATTTGTTAAAATTTATTTAAGAATTAAAATATATTATTTAATTGTAAAATTGAATCTATAAACAACCTCATAAAATTTATTTCAAAACATGATTCTGACTCAAATAATTAATTATTAAAAGTTTAGTTATTTAGATAATAATTTGAAAATCAATTATTGACCTTCATAATCAATCTTTTGACCTTTTTAAACAGGGCATTTGGCTAATATTAAATGGCACTGACTAACCACAAGCAGTGGTTGGCCAATCATCAGCCAACATTTATTAGTAAAAGAAGGTGGGTGTTTAAAGACATTTATATCATTTTACATGATAAATTAATTACAATCAAGTTTTATAAAATCTCAATGCATTTTCATAAATTCATTAGAGTTATTCATAAATAAATTTTTTACACAAGATTCATTTGTAATTTTAAAAAATTAGTAGGAAATAGGAATATCAAAATTCATTGATTTGTTTAATCAAAATAAATATATAACTGATATAATATATTTAATTTTTAAGGTTATATTATATTAAACTTGGAAGTTATGGGCCAGAAATTTCATGGAATTCAAATGTATTATCGAAATAAATTAAGAAATAGAAAATAAGGATGAGAGGGTATTTAAGTCATTGAGATTAGGATTGACTTCCGTACGGAGAAGGACGAAAAGGATGAGGGGCAATTTGGGGAATAGAGAAAAAGGAGCGACAGTTACGTGATGTTGGAAAATGGAGATGCTATGTGGGGGAGGATTATGTGGGGAAGGACAAGCTTCCAATGCGGCCTGTACGACAGCCAATTTTTGACTAAGACCCTCAGACTCTGAACATCATGGCCTCGCTATCATATGTTTGAATTTTACTGCCAATGAGAATTTTTTATTAATAGTGGGTTGTCTTTATAAATACTTTCTATAATGACATCTTCAGACCATGGCCTAATTCCCATGTCTAATGAGCCGCTAAGACGACTCACATAAATATTTTGTTGATGATAAAACAAATAAAATAAATTTCATTTTATTTGAAATAATCTTCTTATTATTTTTTTTAAAAGATGTAATACATTTAACTTTGGGGGAATAACAATAAAATTTTGAAAGAGGGAATTTTGGCAATTACCCCCTCAAAAAAATTTCTAACAAAATAAGTTATAGATATTAATTTTAAGGGAGAATGATAAATAAATTCCTTTAAAATAAAAAATATCAATTTGATCTCACGAAGTATGATAAGTCTTAAGAGACCTAATTGTCATTAAATTTTTTTATGAAATGACAAACCCATCAATCTAAAAAATGAATGAATTAAAATGATGAGAGAAAATTATAAATATCTAAATCACTTTAATCATTTATTGAATATGACTTATAAATTCTAGAATTAAAGTTGTAAAAAAAAAGTTTTGTTCTACTTTATTGATCGAAGAAAAATGGTGAGAGAAAGTTGTGAATGCTTAACTACTTTAGTTTTTTTATTGAACTAGAATTGTAAACTTTAAAACTAAAGTTGTAAATGAAAAAAAATAGTTGCACTTTGCTTATTGACAAAAAAAGGGTGAGAAAAAATTGTGAATGCTTAAATAATTGTAGTCATTTATTGAATTAGAGTTGTGAGTTTCAAAACTACACTTGTAAAAAAAAAACTTTGTTATGCTTTTTTAAATTAAGGATTATTTTTGTCAATTCATCAAAAACTCTTAAAAAGTATTGTTATATTTTGCAGGATTACATTGTCGTTTCTTTATATCGGAAGCATTTACTTGTCATCTTTCCTAATTTCAAGAATAAAAGAAGAGTTAAATTCAGAATTCAATACGTTGCTTGAAATTAGAACTCTTAAATTTATAATTGTTTAAAAGGATATTTGTAAATTAATTTTCAAAACAACAATTACTGAGAGCATACCAGTAATTAATTTTTTTTTAGATTTAACCGTTATTCTCTTTTAGATTTCAAGTAATTATAATTTTTAAATCATAAGTATATGAGAATATATGAATTATTTTATTTTTTTTAAATCAGCTTACATGTGAATAGGGGAATTTTGATTGAATAGCTTCTTTATTAAATGTTAGCACAGGACCTTCGTTCTTAATCAATTTATATTTTAATATTTAAGAGCATGCTATTATTTTTACTTAATGACATTAGCAAATGACATCTGGGTTCTTTGTCACAAAATGTCATTTCAATCATGAAATTTGCTAGAACTAATACTTCAAGAGACAGGGCTTATTTGAATCGAACTTAAAGTATTATATTTTATATAAAATATTTATATAGTTAAACTTAGTCCTAATACCCTCAGGCTTATTTAGGTTAACGCAAATACCCAAAAATTTTTTTAAAAAAATATTTTTCTTCATTTTTTAAATTAATTTTAATTTTTAAGTAACTCTGTTAAGCATAAAATATTATTTTAATTTTAAAATAATAAAAAAATAATAACTTATTAATTTGTACTCAGGTAACTCTATTACTGTTTCATTGTATTATTTATAGTTTATTTATAAATATTTTTTACTTATAAATTAATATCTTAGTTATTTAAATATTACTCTTATCATGATCATATATAAATATTTATATATTTTAATTAAATTATATTATTTGAATTATAATCAATTTTACCTCAATTCAATTATGGTTAGATCACTAACTTAAAATTATTATCTCGATTAATTTGAAATTTTTAATAATTTTTATATAAACTGTACTTTTCATTTTTAAGAATATCAAAAAAATAGTAATCTTTATATTATATTAACAAAATCATTTAATTATAAATAAAATATTAAATTTTTAATTATTTTTTTAAATTTTTATATTGTTTAACCCCTACATGTAAGGGGTATTTGCTCTAATTTATTCTTAATTTTTTATCAAATTTGATGTAGATGATAACAAAATAATTATCTAAGGATATTAATCTATGATTATGTTTATCTAGTAGAGCTAAGAAATCATACATATCAACATTTTATTTTAAAAATTATTTTAAATTTAATTTTTTTATTTAAAATTAATTATCTTATTTCATGAAAAATAAAAATATATCTTTAATACTCAAATAATGTATACGACTCCAAATTTATTCAAAAAAATAAGTGAGTCTTAAAATATAAAAATTTACATTAAAACATATTTTAAATATTATTTTAAAATATTTTATTGATTAAAAATAATAATAATATGAAAATATAAATCTTTTTAATTTTTTAAAAGAATTATAAAAATACACTTAAATATATAATATTTTAATATAAAATGATATAAAATTTAAAAAATTAATTAACATTTATTATATTTTATATGTTTTTAAAAATATTATTTTTTATTCATATATTCAAGTCAGTTTTAATATTAAAAAAATATTATTTTTTCAGGTTTGATTTTTAATTTTTCTAGCAAATTGATTTATCAAACTTAATTTAAATTATTAGCCTGTGCAAGTTGGAGCAATGACCAAATCAACCTTGATAAACTAAAAAGAGTACGGTTTTCGTACTGCCTCTTCAACGGGAGGAAGCGAGTTCTTGTACGGCTCCATGTGAATGGTCAACTCTGAACACCGTCTTTTTTCCACTACGTTTTCTTTTGGTATTTCATTTCCACTGCGTTTAAATATTCTACGTCAAGTCTGTTTTATTATTTGCCCCCTTATTTCCAAGCCTATCAATTAAAAAAAATTGATAAAAAAAATCTTGTTAAAAAGAAAATTAATTTCAAGGATCAAATACAATTTAAAGATGAAGGTTAATATTTTATTCATAAAATAATATAAACAAATGATTAAAATATCACATTTAAACTAACAAAATTGAAAAAACAAAAACAAAAGCAACCTATTCAATACATACACCTTAAGTCAGAAGCTTTACACTCTAAGTAAAAAACTTTACACCTATAATAATAAAAATTAATAATTTTAATTATTTTGGATGTAAGACTTCTAATTTCGAATGCATGTGTTGAACATGCAACCTTTGTTTTTTTTTTTCTTCTAATTTCGTTGGTTTAAATAAAAGAATATTTCGATCATTTATTTATATTGTTTAATAAATAAAATATTAGCTTTAATCCTAGAATTGCATTTGATCCTTAAGACTAATTTTTCTTCTAATAAGATCTTTTTTTACCAATTTTTCCTATCAACTATGGTTTTCCATTTTCTTTCAAACAGAAAAACAAGAAATTTAGGAGTGATTCGTGAAGAGGAAGATTAAAAAGAAATTCAATTTCAGTACGCTATACGCTATTACAAGATATCCTCCTTCTATCACCTAATATAAAAAATGTGGTATTTCTCATGACACCACTTGTAAGTTGTTAGTGGAAATGGTTCTTTAAAGAATAAAAGAAGTAGAAATGAAAAAAATTGTGCAAAATGTTTTTAAAGTGTAAATATTACTTTCTTTTAAACTTAATTCACTCTTACCTTTTTTAACCTTTATGTGTAAAGTGGATTGATAGTGAATTTTTTTTACGACACAATAAAAACTTTTGAGTATGTAG